AAGACAAATGTCATCACTCCAAAAGTCCCTCAACTTCCCTCTTCTTTCCCCGACTTTTTATACTGAGTGTGATGTCATGTGGTTTGGAATACCCCTTAAGTCAGTTTGTGTCACCTGTCCCAGATGTGTCTCCTCCCAACCTCCCATGTATCCTCAGCCTCCTTACCATCATGGCAGTATGAAAGGCAGAAAAGGTCTTGGCTCTGTGTAAGCACTCTCAGAAGTAACAGAAAGATCTCTATATTATCAACCCTGTGTTGATAATATGAAATCCAAAACATAGCCCCATAGCAACCACTGCAAAGAATATTAGCTCTACCCCATCCAGAACCAGCACAATAACTTAGAATCCTCAAAAATCTTCATCAACACCTTTCTCACCTGATTTCTGCCATACCTTAGTGTAAGGCTCTTCATTTCAACCTTCAGTCCAGGAAGATATTTCCCTGGAACATAGACTGACCTCTCTCTGGAAAAAAGAATTATTTTTTTTTTTTACTTCGTGCATATCCCTAAACTGCTCTCATAGCTGCAATATGGTCTGGCTTCTAATCGTTAAAATCTCTTCTGTGTTCCTAGGAAGTCTGCTGAGGTTCCATTTCTACAGCTGGGTATACTCACACTTTTGATCTTACAGTGGCAGTTATCCCACTGACAATGCAGTTCAGTAGCATTTTCCCTGCTGTTATATCCATTTCAACCTTAGGTGTACCTTCACAAAGTCCATCAACTTGTTCCTGGCAGACAGCGGAAACTTCAATTTCCTGAATCAATTTTCTAGGATCAATTTGCGAATTTTTCCTAGCAAGCAGGTTTTACTAATGCAGATTTGACTCTTCTTGATGTGGATGTGAGTTTCTAGTCTTGTGCCTTCTGTTCTTTTGCGTTATAATCCTGCATCTTCATTTCTTCTGTAGTTTATGCTCCTCCTGGCTCTAGCTCTCTTGCTACTGTTTATACACATTTTTCTTTCGCGGAGTAGGGTTTTATTTTGGTTTTCATGTTTGTTTGTTTTTAATTTGTAAATTTGTTTATTGATACATTGTTTTGGTGTTCCTGATATTTTCTTTCTTTTTCCTTTTCTTAGTTTTTTTTCTTTTATATTTTTTACATTTTCACCCTCAAATTCCAGCAACTGTTCATTCTTGTTCTCAAAAGAAACGTGGCCATCTCTCAAAAATTACTTTAAATAAAAAGGAAATTTACTAGTATTGTCCTTGTGGGGAGAAGGTACATACTATGTTAATAGTTTTTAAATGCAAAATAGATAATAGTATTTAATCTGAAGAAATTATGTTGAAAGATAAAATGCAGAAGAATTTAAGTTGAAAGATTTTGTTCCCATTTACAAGCATGCATGGGTCTCGTGACATGTTATTTCTGTGACCACCTGTTACATTCTCACAGAGTATTCAGTTATACAAAGATCGTACTTTTCAGAGTGTTTTAATAGAACGCAATTATTACATTGATCAATATCTATCTTTTTTCAAAAGGACTGAACTCTTAAAATTAAGCTCTTTGGAAATGATGTCTTTATCATTTATAGTTTTGATCAATGAAGAAAGTGAATTTTTTTGCACTACAGGTAAATAAAACCTGTTCCACCCACCTAAGAAATAGCAAGGTATTCATTGGTGGGGGGTTTTTGTGTGTGTGGTTTTTTTAACAGGTTTTTAACTAGAGAATAGTTTGACACAATCTTCAAATCAAGGGCAACTGTCTACCATGCAACAAAGAGGCACATTTGAAAAGGAAATGATAATTATTCCCCTTTTACAAACTAGACAGTTGTATTTCTGAAACACCAGAGCTTTTAAGTGGGAGCTAAATTAATCTTTATTAATCCTTGTTATCATGATTGCATAATGTCTGGATTTAAATGTCTGATGTACAGCTCTCTGTTTCCTGCTTCCCTGGCAATCAGAAGTGTGAAAATAAACCTTACACTTTAAAAGAAACACTTCATTTGAAAAAATAGATATAATCATCTGTACTATTTAAAAAAAGTTTTACTTCACACAAGAATAAATATACAGCATGTCAGAGTTTCAGACCTGCTATTTTATGTTAAAATATGCACTGCTACATGTCAGAGCTGTGAAAATGGGAGGTAAAACAAGAAGGCAGTTGGCCAAATAGTTATAGCAAGATTTTTTTTCCATTAAGATTTTTATTTTTGCGAATAGTGCTCCTACAATTTAATTACAGCATTTAAAACACTCTCTAAAATGGTCTATGAGTGCCCTACTGAAATTTCAAACTACCATAATTAGTTATAAGATCAGAGTCAAAAACAAAACCAGGTTTGAGTCTGGGTCTTCTTGTACTTTTTTACAAGCTTCTATGCTGCAGAAATGAGCCATAATTCAAACAACCACTTTCAAACAACAGATACAGTGTAGAATGCCATTTAAAGTACTTTCTACTGACACACCATTAGTTTAGAGTTAGCTTTACATTAACTTTACATTACAAATATACTTTTTGAGAGAAGAGAGGTTCTAACTTTATCGCAAAAACGTTCTGCCTAAATAAGCTTAAGAAAAGCTGAAAAAGGTTTCTTACTTACGTACATCAGTTCTCAGAAATTAATGAAGAGTTTGGGTTTAAAAAAATACTGTCAAAAGAATATTTTCCTAAGATACTTTTGGTCTCCTAAAAAAATTTAAAAGTTAATTAAAATTAATACAGTTTTAATTCCATTTGATATGTATCCTGAGTAACAAAAGTATATTTCATTCACTCTAAGGGTGTATATTTGTGTGTTTGTTTGTTTTGATTTATAGTGTTGTGGGAAGTCAAATCAAACTGTGGTTTCATGCTATATGGATGAAATGTATTGTGTAAATAACTGACGACATATTTCTGTAAGAATATTGACTATTGATTTCTGTTTAGACAAATATGTTGATACAAGATTCTTAGTAATTCAAATGCAATGTGCTGTAAGAAAAGTTTATTTACAGACCTTGTGCAAATGTCTTTTAGAGCCTTTTATGTCTACAGTGGCTTATTCATCATTCATTATTATTTAGTGTAGCTGCTTCTCAAAAGTTTACATAATATATTGGGGAAGACTAACTGCATCTAGACTGACATTACAAGTTGTTCTTGAGAACAACTTTCATAACAATAAGCTAGTTTAGTTTTCATGCAAACCAGCTTCATTTCTATTGTCTATGTTGCACCTCCAATGCACTTCTGAGAAAGGACAGCCTTGACAATGGGTATATCATTGTCTTCATTGCAAGTTCCTGGAATACCCTCCAATATTTATAAGATTGCACATGACCTATGAGATCTTCTCAACATCAGGTTAAATATCACCTTGCAACATGCTGTGCACCCCATAGATTTCACAGAGACAGAGCCTTTAAAAGCTTTATTAATTCTCATGTATGGTTCTGAAGCATATAGCTTTGTAACAGAGACAAAGACCTTCCAATTGAAAAGCCAAGAAGCGTGTTTCCCTCTTGCTGAAACAAATGACAGTTATTTCTTGTCCTATTTATTGCTGGAACCTTATACATACATGGTGGGGGTTACTGGCCTGCAACAAAGGTGGAGAGGGACTTTATAGAAGGGCATATAGTGATAGGATAAGGGGGAATGCCATTAAACTGAAAGTGGGCAGGTTTAGATTAGGTATTAGGAAGAAAATATTCACTGTGAGTGTGGTGAGCCACTGGAACAGGCTTCCCAAAGAAGCTGTGGACGCCCCATCCCTGGAAGTGCTCAAGGTCAGGTTGAATGTGGCTTTGAGTAACCTGGTCTAGTAAAAGATGTCCTTGCCCATGGCAGGACGGTTGGAACTAGATGATCTTTAAGCCTGAATCATTCTATGATTGCATGTAATTTCAAGCCATATAACAGGCCTGGTAAACTCTTGATCCTGAAGTCAAGCATTGTAACCAAAACACTGTTGCCATTTCCACACTGGGTTTCATGGTTCGTCCATTGTTGTTTAGGAATGTTTTTTCTGTGTTCCAGGTTGTATATAAACTTCTCACCCTTGAGTTCACCCTTCTTCATAACCCAGCAGACCTAAATAATTTTCTCTTAAGACTAAATCTAAGAAGCTAACACTTAACAGCAGTTTGTTATAACCTCCTGAGAGCCTGAGAATGAGTATTCTCCTCTGAGTGCTTATAGTTAGCCTCTAAGTAAATTCAAATAAACCACTTTGAACCATTTCATTTAAATCACTCTCAGGGGACTAAAAATACATACTAAGTGTGATGCCCCATTTCATCTGAAAGGAAGTAATCAACAACTTCACTTATTTGTTTCTTAAACTTGTTTCTCAGTTGTAATGCATGATGAAAAACCATTTTAGCGTGAAGGCAAACATGCTAGATGAAACCAAATCCACAGATGTTTTACACCAGTCTGGTTTGACTTTATTGTGAGATATTAGAGATATTCTACTCCATGACTAAAAGTGTTCATACTGTGATTACATACGTTCTTGGTTAAGAAACCAAAACTAGTAAAAGACCACTGAATCTTATGTACATGAACAATGAGCATGTTTGGTGTATTAAGAGTAAAGTATTGTTTTACATTTTGCCTGCCCCAGCTTCCATCTGTACTGGGTTTAGTACATACTAGAGTGACGAATATGTTTCTACAAAATAGAATATTCATGCAGGCACTCAACTGAATTCCAATGATGATTAATTAATAGATTTAGTTATATTTCCCTTAAAATAATGAAATCTTTGTTTTTTCAAGTACATCACGGGTATGAGTTGTTTTGTATCACTGATTTTTCATATTACTTTCTTCTGAGCTGTCTCCATCATTGTTTGAAAGTCAATAGTATTAGAGCTGCTGAAACTTTGTTAATAAACTGGAAAATTATACATGCTTCTATACATGATTACATAAGACATAGAAACAACTGTGTATAATTTTTATCTTATTTTATTTTATTTTTATGCAAGAATATGAAATTTCCACCTCATTTTGTGTGGATGTCATTCACACAATGTCATCCACACAATGTCATCTTAGAAAACCATACTGCTTATTTGACACACATTGGATAATCCCAGATGTCATGAAGAAAACAAAACAAAGAAAAATAAATGAAAGTTTGATTACATTATCATCACGTTTATTTCTAAGATTTTTCCCCTTTCAAGACTCCAAAGACACGTCACTATATTACCAAACTCAAGACTCTTTAAGCTTTCATCTGTTTTACTAGTTAGCTTTTTTTCATGCATGTATACAGTATAGTCAGTTTAAAAGTTTGCTTAGACACATATCTGAAGATTCACAGGTGTTGGAGATGTGCTCCATTATAAGAAATACATTAGTTTCTTTTTTAATACTGAGGTGAATTCAATCTTAATTCCTCAATATGAACTCATTAATATGAACTTTCAAAGAGAACTAATATTCTAAAATACTCAATTATCTGACCATAAGGAAAAAAAAAAGAATTAGTATCAGTAAATATCTTCAGAGTTTGCAGCAAAAATTTGGAAACAAAATTTGGATACTACACCTTTAAATATCACTTGGTTTATTAACTTCAAAATAATAATAATAATAATAATAAAAGCTCTACCAGGTCACTTTACACCTTCTCCTTGGCTAAATTGGACTCTCTTTCTGCAGCTATGACATCATGTTACATATTTCAAAACTTGACATATGTCACACCGAGGACAAGAAGATTAAAGTGCTTTCCTTTTCCACTGTTTTCCTGACAATTAATTCTATATTGCCTCAAGACCTAGAATATGCAGCTTGCTTAATAATGCTCTTTGAACTTTGTGATGATTGATCTACTGTGATTAAACTTTGAACTCTGAATATTACCAGGTCATCTTATTGTTGGCATTAGTAGACCTGTGAGTCCTCTTTAAAATGAAATCCTATGATTAAGTCACTGATCCAAGAGATGACAAAAACCATATCATCTGAATGACCAGCCATACCCTCCCTTGCAGAAGGAAATAAAAATGTGGAAAAGAACAGTCACATTGAAATGGGAACACGTATCTAATTCAAAGACCAAATTATGTAATTACCATTGTTAAATAGGTCCACTACTCCAGTATGAGGTTTCAAAATAAAATAAAATAAAATAAACAAAGTGCTGTGTTAGAAACAAGAGTTCTTAGGAGCTTTGAACTGACCATTTGCTTAAAAAAGTTAGGTTCTGGCACCAAAATTTCCCCCTCATATCCAAATCCTTCAGTAAAACTGACACATATAACCCTACCCCCAAAGCAACATTAATTTATCTAGCAGTTGGGAGTCTCAGATGAGATGTGGCAGAGAGAAATTCAAGCTTTTCTTCAGCATCAGATAGACCAAGGAAAATCATGTCTTTCAAATCTCATTGAGTCCTTTGAATAGGGAAACTTGGTGGATTAATTCAAATAATAATCCAAATTATCCACATATTTAAGAAAAAATGGCAATTTTGCCATTGTATAGTGTCCTAGAATTTTCTAGAATATCATATCTTCAGATAAGCCTGTTTAAAAATGAGAACAGTCAAATAATACAGGGAAAGTCTTGAATGTGAAATAAGTCTTGACCCTATACAGATGCAAAGAATTAAATATAAATATGTAGGTATAGATATACAGAGACATTATAGAGAAGGATATAAAATCTTCTTCCAAAATGTTTCTTTCAAATAAGAAAATAAAATGTTCTCCAAGGTGTTCATCTATCACAACATTTTGTGTGGTTCGAATTCCACGTCATCAAATTTATGAACAGACATATTCCTTGTTTTAATTTTTTCTGACAGCCTATGCCATCTTCTGTTCCCATTCACTGTAGACATCTAAAAACAAGACAGTGAGAAAATGTCAGTTTTCATTTTTTTCATAGCATTTGAATAAGAATAAAGTAACATATCCAGAGAAACTCTTTGAATCTTTACCACCTGCAGATTTCCACAGATGTCTAATACTCCACTTACTTTGTAAAACACCACACAAACACATAGAGAGAACTTATAAAAGAAGAAAAAAATAATGCTTCCTCAACTTTGCAATATACTTTCCTTTTTCCGCTCAGAGAAGGTAAAGTGTTAGTTTTCACACAAACCATACAAATATAATTTTCTCTACATAGATCAAAGGCAATACAACTTATTTTAGTGACTTTTGGAATCCGAAGGCTATGGCTCACCATTTTCTTTCCAAAACACGACTGCACAGAAGATATATAGAAAGTGTACAGAATCTGCAGTTTTTTATCATATCTTCTGCTTCATAAACCCATTCCAACTTTTTCCTGATTAGCTCCCCTATGCAAAGGCATAACTCACAACAGTTTGTTCCTGCCATACTGTTTCATCTGGAATTATCCTGGCTTCTGTTTTTCCAGGATTCCCTTCTGGTCTGTGTCACTTGAGACGGTTTGGATTAGCTGCTTTGAAAAAGACTGTCAGACTTCACTTTGCATTACAAGCAACAAGGGGAGCTCTGAAGCTTCTGATAGAAGAACAGCATTTTTATAAAATTATTCACAAGGAGAAGAAAAAAATAACAAAACTCTAATAATTTCTTCTACACCATAGATCAGGAGAGAAACAGAGGGAAAAAAGCCTAATCCAAACCACCAAAAAACTCTTAGAAACATCAAACATAAAAACTACCATCAGAGCAAAAGACACAATTGCTGAGGAGAGAGAAAATAATCACACACATATGAAATTTTGTCTTTCAAATGACTGTAGAAGAAGGAATTAATCATGGCAGCATTTATTATATGTTTCCTAAGTGTATAAGTACCATACAGCTGTTTGCTTTAACTGCAACAAATACATTTTATAGACATCTAATACTAGCAACTGATATTTCATTTTGTTCATTAGTTTTCGCAAAGGTAAATTTGTCCTGTTGACTGAAGAACAGTGCTTTTTATTATCCATATAAGTTATAAGAACTTATATGGAACTTATCTCTTGATTATTTAAAAATTGAAGGTGCTGTTTTGAATGAATTGTTCCCCTGAATGAGTTCAAGGTCACATTTGGGAAAATTAACAACAGGTTTATCTGAATGGGTAGAGTAGATCCTCATTTTCTGAAGAGAATTCTGTTTAGTGGAGATTAACACACAGGAAAAAGAAATTAAAAATCAACTCTAGACTTCTGGGGTAAATTCTCAGAGACCGACCTACTCACAGCTTTGAGTAATGAGGTCACTGGAGTAGTATATTCTTGCTTAAGTAAATGCACAGCAGAGTGCAATAAGTTCATCCAATTTCCTATACTGCTCCGCTTAACCACAGCAATTTTCCGTACATTTTATACACAATAGTCAGGAAACATTAAGGAAATAACTTGTTCAGAATGCTTGCTAAACTTACAGTTTAGCTTTCCAAGACAAACTTTTACTTGTAAAATGTATACAACATGTAGTATGCCTATAGCGATAGTTTTAATTATTTAGGATATTTTTAAATCTCCACAATGTATTTAATGATTTTTCCCATTTACTAGTAAAAAAAAAAATCACTTTTACTCATTTCTTTTTAAATTATTATCAAGCGTATCCCATGAAAAATATATCTTAATAGTAATCAAGCGCCATTCTCAAAATGAAAATATTCCTTTTAGTACCAAAGCACCATAGTTTCAATGTCTTTGGGGGATTTTTCTGTGTTTCAGTTTCAACTTACTTAACTTTTCCTACACATCCAAAATTCTTAGACCTGGCACTCATCATGTTAGCCAGCTAACACCGGCTAGCACATCACTGTTTGTTCCAAAATAATTTGAGATTGAAAGCTTCTTTCATCTTTCTTCCCCTGCGCACTGACTCACCTTCCACCTTTACAAGAGATATGTTATTATCTTGTTCAGTTGACTTTACTGCATCATCTTTGACAGGAAGATAAAGTTTCCAGTACCGTAGTACATGTCATTTCTCAAGAAATTTTGTCTGAAAGGAACATAAATATGAATCATTTCTTAAAACCTCCTGCCATGGTGAAAAAACTTTTCAGGAACTGAAGATATTTTTGTCTATGTTTGAGGAAAGGTTTTAATTTTCCAATGTGATTTTAATCAATGGAGAATTATACTGAACAATGATGAATAGACATACAACTACCATATACAGGCTGATAATAAAGATGAGGATAAGACAGAGTGGGCATTACACCCTCTACAGGATTAATACACTCACTTGTCTGCTGATGCTCAAGTAATTTGAACCACTGTCAAATTTTGTAAAAGTAAATTTCATTTAAAAAAAAAAATCCTCTACCTTACATAAAGTTTTATATCAGCTGGTCTCTCTGTGAGCTACTCTTATCACATTTTCTCTGTCATGAAACAATTAACAGTCCAATTTAATGTGTAGTGTACAGGATATTATGTCTTCTGTGACTAGCATTATAGAAAGCAATATTTAAAGAAGTATATTATCTGCCATTTTAGAGAGGGCTTTAGTAGAGAGTTTCAGTAGAAAAATATTTTCAAGATTAATAAGCATATTTTATACTTAGATGGACATTGGGTTGCTAAGGAAGATCGTCCTAGATCAAGGAAAAATACCCACTGCATAGACCTCCCGCAATCACTCTCACTTTTTTTCTTCTATTTTTTTTTCCCCATAAAAGTAAAGAAAAGCCTTTTCTGTTAACGGTAAGTGCTGTGTTTTATTTTCATCTCTCTGTGACTGCAGCAGCTTGACATAAATTAGAAGTGACCTCCATGTGTTCCAGTGGGATAGCTATGAACTGCAATGTGTAAAGACATACTTTGAAACCATTTACATTAAAATTGCTTTGACGGCATTCTCTGTAACTTGGATAGAGACAAGGTTTAGTTCCTTGGTCTTATTTTCTGGGACATGAAAGGGGGAAAGTCTAGGAAGACAGGGAAGTCCCATATAGATTAATTCTCCTTTTGTATATACTGTTCCATAAAATGTAAGTGAAGATGATATTTTCATGTTTGACTAAGTAGTTACCACGCATACCTACAATTGTGTTCTTCCTACCTGATATTGAAAAGGTAAAAACAAATCAAGAGAAAAAACCCTCGATAGTTTAACAAGACAAATGGAAGATGCAATTGTGTCACTAAGGACTGTGAGGCAGAAATGCTGAATCGTAAAACCAAACTGATTCTGCCAACAATCCCATAAGATATAATGAAACCCTTAAATTTGGGGTTACTTGGACTTCAGATTTCCCTTTGGTAGGTCTGTCTGAGAGCCAGACCACCCCATCACCAGATGGCTGTAGTCCACCTGAACGCTCAATTCAATCCAGCTGTGGTCAACGGGCTATCACATCATCAGACTATGAACCCAGATCCCTGAACACCTTTACAGCTCATTTTTACCAGGAATCCCCACACATGTGGGTTACCTGCTGCTCTCTGGTGGTATAAAGGCTGAAAATGCACAGATGTGCTCTAAGAAATTGATATTTTTCTGAGTTTTTCTGCTTTGAATTACCATTTCACTATGGGAGGATATTCACAGAAGGAATTAAAAAGAAAAAGTCTTAACTAACTTTGGATAGAAATTAGGTAATAAAATCATAGATAACATAGACAAGAATATAATTCATAATTTTTTAAAAGAAATATAATAATACAAAGATTAATTAAAATATACACCTAACGACTGTACTGTCAAGCTCACACCTTTTAAATTTTTTTTTTTTCTTTTTTTAGTGAAAATTCTGAAAGTTGTGCTGTCAATGCCTACATGCTCAGGGTGCTTTGTTCCAAACTCATCCTTCCTTCCCCTCTCACTCACACTAACGCATGCATCACCTGCTTAACATCACATGCATTGACTTCCAGTTAATCACTCAAAATTAGACAAGTTGCTGCACCAGGGGAGGTTCAGGTGGGACATCAGGAAGAATTTTGTCACTGAAAGGGTTTTCAAGCAGTGGAACAAACTTCCAAAGGAAGTGGTGGAGTTACCATCCCTGGAAGTGTTCAAGAAACAACTGGATGCAGCACTCAGTGCTATGGATTAGTTGATGAAGTGGTGTTCAGTCAAAGGTTAGACTTGATGACATTGGAGGCCTTTTCCAACCTTAATTATTCTTTGATTTTATGATAAGATAGGAATTAGATAGGAAGCAAACAATAAGATACTTCTTACAGAAAGCTTTAATGAAATAAGTCAGAATTTTATGCTGTGAATTTTTTCAGAAGTGGATTGGCTTTTCCTATTTATTTAAAATAGCACGACACTATCAACATAGAATAAAATTATCATGAATTTTATTTTTTTTTTATTATTATTGTAGGATCTCTAGTTAAGCAAACATTTAATCATACCCTGGTGACCCTGCTGCCTTGCCCCAAAGGGTTTTGATTATGATCAGCTAGAAACTTTGAAATAACTTTATTTGCAAAACAAATGTAATAATTACAGTTTAAAAATAATGTGTATAGTGAAAAAAAAGGAATATTTGAAGTGTTGTTCAAATTCCTTTCTCTCTCTCAATAAGAGAATTCATTCATGTGTTATGAATGGAATTGCTTGAGTCACTGTATCATTAATAATGATCAAAAATAAGAATTAAAAAAGCCCCACCAAACCAAACTATATTTCTTTTAGGAAGCATAACATCTACAGTGCTTTGTTTTTCATGTACATATAGTTAAGAATAAAGGAATGTGATTTGACCCTGTCGCCCTCTGGAGAAAGTATTACAACTATAAAGTAACTTCTATAGCAGAAGCACCTAGCTCTACCTAATGTAAAGTTTGAAGTTTCTGTTGAATTATGTCATCCAGCTTTTGCCAAAATGCATAATCCTGAATTAGCAGTTAAAAGCAGTGACCTCTGTTTCTTTCTCATTAACGCATTTCAAGAGGTTTCTGTGTAGTGTGTACAATGTAATTGACATTAACACTTTTACTGCTACTGTAAGACATTTGATTTTGTTGTATTTTAATCAGCAAAATAGCATCTTTCAAAATGTAAATTTCTGTGGAAGCAGTTAACACAGCTAGTGTTAGATGTGCTTTTCCTAATGAATATTTTACTTTATGCTAATATACTCTATGCTGATTCTCGTTGCAATGGAGAGGGAAATGTTCAATTCACATCCAAGCAATGATTCATGCACTTTTAGAATAGAGTGAATGGTGGACTTCGTATTGAATAATTTGCTTTTTCCCTGCTATTAACTAACGAAAGAGCAGACAAGATTCTTAATTTTTAAGTGGTTAAAGATAGGTGAGATAAATCTTGCCATCATATTCTATTGTAAGTGAATGGTTTAGGATCCCTCAAAGAATCACCATCAAAGGTATTAGCAAAAGTAGCTCTAATATGAATCTTTAAAATAAAAATAATATAATTTTTATTTTTAATAAAATATTTTAAACCAGGATTCACAACATATTCATATCTTTCTCCAGGCTTCCTGTCTCAGAAAAGCTCATAATTTAGTAAAGTTTAATACTAGCTAGCCATGTAAACCAGTAAGAATACATTATGGAATTTCAACAGTAGGTTGCTTCTGATGATAGTTGAAATATTAAACAAGTAATCTAACAGATCAGTGTTTTTTTTCCAGATCTCCCAATCCAAAATATGAAGAGTATCATACAGATAGGAAGCGATGAAAAAAGACTCCTGAAATTCCACAAAGTTTGAAATCTCAGAAGTCATGTGCTCTTTCTGAAACATTTTATTACACCATTTTTATTTTTCAGATGTGAGACAGTATTGCAAATGTGCAATAAAAATGTTTAAGTGTTAATAAGGAAATTATTCAAAATGGCATGGTAGTATTTTAACTGATGTGAAGAAAAAGTATCAGTTTTTAAATGAGATTACCTGCCAACAGAACAGTGGAACATATTACATGATAAAAATTTAAAAAAGCACCAGGAAGAACACAGAAACAGAGGTCTTCACGTAATAAGAACTTTGCTTAATGTGTCTGGACTGTCTGAAGGACGTTATGGGAAAGGACTAGCATGTTGGCTTCTCAAAAATCTGCTTGTGTTCCTACAACCAATCTGGTGCCCTCTTGTTTCCTTTTTCAACACACATCTTTCAATTATTATTTTCAGATTGTAATGGGTTTGTATAGTAAAATAACACTTCCTCTTTCTGGAAAAAACAGGATATTCCGTACTATGTTACGTCAGTCTGACTATAAGAGAGAAGGGAGAGTTAGCTCGGCCCTTCTTCTTTCTTCTGGTATGGCCCTGTAGAGATGCCATTCAGTGAGGGAGGTAGAATTTTTTACTGTGTCCTGGTTAGAACGGCTAGGACCAATTCATCCCTGGATGGGTGTAACCCAAAACTGTGTATTCTATAGCCTCCATGCCATTTCCCAAAAACTGCTGTCAGTAGAGGCCTGCAAGGTGGGAAGATGTTCCTGTACCCTTTTATGGAATTCCCTGCTCTGATATCCTTATATGGAATTCCCCGCGCTGATACCCTTATATGGAAGAGGGACTGAGCATCCGCATGCCCTTTTATGGAATTCCCTACTCTGAGGGAGGGACTGAGCACTCCCGCCTGAACTGGAGAGTATATAACTGGGAGTTTCAGAACCTTGCCACCTCTCGTGGGATCCAGAGGAAGATTGCAGACCACCGCGTTCAACCAGACTGAGACCACCACCCTCGACTGGACTGCAATCACCACTTCTGACCAGACTGCAGCAGCTCTCCCACCAGCAGGTCTATCCCCTCTCCTTTTGCTTTGGACTCGGGGGTGGGCCAAGGTACACCACTCTTGTTCATACCCTAGGGTGCTGGGTATACATTTGGGCTTTGTGGGTTAAAACCAATTGTCTGTCTGTATAATTGTACTTATTGCATTATTTTAATAAATTGTTATTCTGACTTATAAATCTCTCTTTTGAATTGAGTTCATTTTCCCTTGCTGGTTAACTTTTAAACCAGCACATACTGTTAGTTTCCTTTGCATGTGTGTCTGTAGTGTTATTTGTCTCTTTTTTTTTTTTCTCTGTGTAAATATAAACTTTCTTCCTTGGTAAGCCCAGGGTTTTCACATTTTTTTATTTTGTCTCCCCTTTTTGGGGGGTGGAGGGGGTCTGCTTAGGCTCGGTGGACACCTGGTGTTCAGCCAAAGTAAATGATAACACTTATTCAATGTTTCTGTTAATTCTTAGGTTAATTTTCCAAGTGTTCTCTCCCATCTTCCTGTAATTGATTGCCTATGCCAGATCCTCATTCAGCCTGTGTACTACATACTTTATTTCAATGGTGGCTTCTTTTGCTTCTCGAATTCGGAAGATAATGAAGAGTGCAAGTAAACACATTTTACTTCTCTTGTTTTCAATGTTTGTATGCTACGAACCCTGAAGCATCAGGGAATAGCAGGAGAAAATCCAGCTTATGTCACTGTGGTCTTTGGAGATTTTTGATGTGATAGTCTAAGAAGGCTTCAGCAAACTCATTTTATCACCTTTTTATTTGACCAATATTTTTTCAGATTTTTATAAGAGCAGTGAAACATGTACACAATGTAAGAATAATAACTGGAAAATGTCAAATTTCCTGCTTTCAAGTATGGGGGTTCTAGCACTGCTCAATGGAAAAGTCAGTAATCTCTTTTTGTTATTGATTTTTCTAATGGGCATAATAATGGTTTTTTTCCATCTCTACGTGGCCAGCAGGTTGAGGGAGGTGATTCTGCTCTTCACTTTCATGAGACCCTACCTGGTGTAATCTATCCAGCTCTGGAGTCCTCAGCACAGGAAACACATGGATGGACCTGTTGAAAAAAGTCCAGAGGAAGGCTATGAAAATGATCAGAAGACTGGAGCACATCTCCTGTGAGGACAGGTTGGGAGAGTTTGGGAGAAGAGAAGGCTCTGGGGACACCTTATAGAAGCCTTTCAATACTTAATAGGGAACTTACAAGAAAGAAGGGGACAGATTTTTAAAGAGGGTCCTTGTGAAAGGACAAGGGATAATGGCTTTAAAATAGAAGAAAGAAAAACTAGACTAGATATAAGGAAGAATTTTTTTTTTTTTTTGGCAATGTGGATGGCAAAACACTGTAACAGGTTGCCCAGAGAGATTGTGGGTGCCCTAACTCTGGAAACATTCAAGGTCAAATTGGGCAGGGCTCTGAGCAATCTGATGAGATGTCCTTGCTCATTGCAGGGAGGTTGTACTAAATGACCTTTAAATGTCCCTTCTAATTCAAATTATTCTATTAATATGTTTTGGAAAGTATAAGAATGTGAGTATTTTCTGCTTTGGCTTTCTTAATAGATCCTGTAGTAGACAGCAGCTATAGTTTAAACAAAATCTCTCAGGCAGAGATGCTGTAAAGGATACAAGGCCACTTTTTAGGAGTCAGCACACATTCTAAATTAACAAGAAACCTCACTTACACAGCTAGAATTAACTACTTTGATCTCATACTGATTCAATTTAAAAAAATCAAGCACAGATATTAAAAAAAACATTTTTATGGTGAAAAACTTTCAGATAATTCTTAGAGTAATTCTGTTCTTTGGTTAATTTCTAACATTTCAGGAAATGGTAATTAAAGAATTTTAATCACAAAGTCATGCCACTTCAGATTTTTGAAACATTTATAATAGATTGCTAATTTTTTTCATTGAACCAACCAGCATAATCAAAACTAACGCATGAAATCACTCCATCTTAATTTCAAATATTTAATCAGAAAAATGTGTTTCTTGGGGAAAACAGATGCACTCCTATTTGTAGAAAGTGTCTTTAAATCTATGAAAAACCAATTAGACTGAAAACAGTACATGCTGCATAAAAAGTAGAAGATTTTCTACAGATTTTATTGTTGCAACACTTATAAATTTCCTATACATTTAACCAGGTCCAGTTCCTTAATCTGTGAAACTGTTGTATGGTAGTAATATCCATCAATTAGACATTTGACACACTGATACTAAAATTCAATGTCTCCATATTTGTGCAAAGTATCAATCTCCCCTAAACTAGGTACTTGCTTTTCCTTATATAAAAATGATTATTGTTTCCACATTTCATTAATATCACTAGTACTGTCTCCTAGTTAAAAGATTAATTACTTGGCTGTGATTCGTAGGAATGGAGCTGCAACTAAATTACCTATGTGGCATGTCAACCTCTTCTTTTGTTATTTCAAGACATACTGCTCTTTAAGAGTGGAAACAAAGTATTCATTTTCCTGTAAATTGCCATGCTCACATCCTGGGAATAGCATAAATAACCCAATCAACGGAAGATTATTAATTTGCAAAAAATGGTTTTTGTCATCAACAAGCTTCATCTTGAATGCCGCCTTCTCTTCAGTGCTCCTTAATTATATTTAGGTCGGCTATACTTGTGCTAGCCTACCACAACTGAAAGTATTATTTTCTATTTCAAGTGCATGGGGAAAGGAATAGATCTGCAACTAATTAAAGCAAAATGTTGACTACTGTTTCTGAAGAAGATTATGCATTTCTATAACACTATTTTTTGCAATTACAGTATACATGAGAAGGTCCATGAGAGTAAATGCAGGTAAAGGAAGTTTGCAGTCTTGTAATTAAGGAGAGTTTAATCACTTATATATCTAAGAAACAAGTTATTAATGAATGGAGTTGGAGGCTTTTTGGTTGGGTTTTTTTGTTTGTTTGTTTGTTTGTTTGTGGTTGGAGTTTTTTGTGGTTTTTTGTTTGGTGGGTTGGTTGGATTTTTGTTTATTTTGGGGGGGGTTGGGGTTTTTTTGAGGGGAAGAGGGGACTGGGAGATTGGGGTAATTTTCCCACTACACCAGTGGGAAATGTAATATTTGGCATTGTGTATCAATAAACTGTCCTGATATTCCTACCACATATTTACAGAAATGAAAATATTGAAACCACATATGTATAAAACAACTATCAGAATCACTGTACTATTTGATTCACCTTGTCTGTGGTCACAGTAGACCCATTATACCAATTTAGTAAATCTTAGTATTGAGCTAAATTGACTTTAACACTATTTAAGTCAGACTGTCATTACATAGAATCTTGAGCACTTTAGTATATGATAGAATGCTTTTCATCCCACCCTTTCTATCTCTGTATAAACATGTCTCTAAATATATCTTCAATGTCAATAAGCTTATTCTATAAACTGTTTTGTCTTGTAATCATAGAACCTTGTCATCATCCTCTCTTTTATATCAGAAACACTGCACTCCTCCATTTTCTATATGCCATATTGTTATAGTTCCCCTGCAGTAAATTCAGTTTTGTTGATTCAAAAATTTCAAGTTATTCTTTACTTGCAAACCAATGCTACCTTACAGTTTTCCTTTTGTTTGTTTGGGGGTTTGGTTTGGTTTGTTTACTGATAAAGTCTGACTGTTAGTGGGAAGGGTGACTACAAAGCAAAATGGTTTGGGTTTAGTTTAAATTTCAGTTTTCAGTTTAAATATTTTATTTTTTTTTTAATATGGCCTTTTGCAAGAGTTATAAGCAGTAGTTACATTCCTTTTTCTAAGTAGAATGTACCTTCTTTGTATAGACTTTAAACTTCATTTCTTCACAATGTTGACTTTATTAACAGCTTGGCAACCAAACTAAGAGCTGGTGTAATCTCCCTTCATGGCCCATCTCTCTTCATTGCAGTTATCCACCTTCTTCTTAGTTTTGACAGAAATACTTCAGTCCTTATGAAACCCTTGAATTGGTAACATATAACAAATGTCAGAAGAAGTTATTCTGCTCTTTTAAAAAAAATTCAAGAATAGAATCATAAAATCATTGAGGTTGGAAAAGAGCTTTCAGATCCAGAAAGCAGAAGAATAAAAAGAATAAGTGGGATATGAGGATATTGGGCAATGTTTTACATTTTTATTATCCAAATACTAAAGGGCAAAGAGATCGTATTTTGCCTCTGTGTTTCAGTATTTGCCTTTATAGGTTTTACCCTTATATTTTACTTCCAACTTTTACTAGCATGAGAAGTTCAATGATGGTTGAAAGTCAGGGCTTTTTCTCTCTGATATTTTTCTTTGAAGGCTTCATTAATTAGAGAATGGAATGTCTTTGATGCAATCATGTAGAAATTAGCTAAATGTATCTGCAATTCTAAAACAGTAGGTCTTCTTTTTGCTGATGTTAAGAGGAGAAAATACCACACTTCACTGACTTTTTTTCCTTATCTGAGTTCATAAACTGACCTTTTAAAAAAGCATGATAGGGATTAATTGCCCTGTAGCAAGAGAGTATGAGTTTGGGAGAGAGATTGAATGGCTGAACTGAAAGGATTGGAAGAGCATGTGTTTTAGCTGTTACAAATTAACTGTGCATACAAAGGCTAAGCGTAACAGAGTTAAGCTACACTTGTATTTAACCAATTTCAATACTAACTCAGCTGGATCATGAGAAATCTTCTTTCATGTTGGACAGCTAAAGAATTAGTTATGGCTTCAAAAGTGATGTTGTATACTTTTAATATGTTTTAAATTTCTAAAATTTTAAAAATATTATCAGTGAAATCCATCAAAGACAGGAAATAGAATATAAAAAGACTAATTTAATTAAATGGATTTATATAATCAAGTAATTTTAATGATCTCTGAAATTCTAAAACTTGTTCTGGTGCTACATAGTACTTAGAAACATTCAAACTCATGTGCGAAAATAGTTTATCTGACATTAGTTCATAAACCTGTATTGTGTAGAGTGGGAAGCAGGAAGGAAAGTAGGCCAAGACAAACAACCTATCATGTTTAGTTTGCAAGAAAGGCAGAAAGGCATTACCTCATATATAGAAATATTTCACATAGAAATATGTGAAAAACTAGCTCTTTAAATCCAAACAAATCCAACTCAGAGTTCAAATCTGTAAGTACATTCAGAAACTTCACAAACCCTATTTAGACATAGCATTTTGGCTAAGCTATTTCTGAGTCTGATTTGCTAGGTGACTTCACTGGATAGCTACTTACTATTCTTGACTTGTCTCCAGAAGTCACTGTTTAGAATGAGAAAAACATTATTGTAGTAAGACAGATTGATCAGTCACTTTAAACTAATTAAAATTAAAATATAATCTTCAGGAGACAGCACAGTATGCAAGTCCCTACCATGAGAGTAAGAGGTAAAGACAAAAACAAAAACAAAAACAACAAGAAAAAAAGTCCCTCTGTACACAAGAACAAAGATTTTTCAACTTGCAAGGAAAAAAAGAAAAAAAGAAGAGATTATAACCACATATAATACTTCAAGTACTTTTCCAGAATTATAGTATGCCTATTTAATTTTTTCCATGCTTTTTGCATACTATGACTTTCATATGTATTCAGATGTGTGCTGTGGTAGTTACCAAGCCAAAGGTTAAGTTTTGCTTCAAGGAGCTTAAAACCTCTCCTTGACCACAGCTGTGCTATCACTTTAAGATTTCCTAGGTCTTTATGTGGGATCTGTGGGTGGAGAAGTTCAAGATGTAATGATTTATTGTTCCTGTGGAAAATGCAAGGCCAGTTTAGGGTAATTCCTTCCCATTTGGAAAACTTTCCATTAGCTATTTCTGTCACTGTATAAACCCTTAGAAAGTACAAACCTCTGTCATACACTGACAGACAGTACTGAAAACAATACCATTTTCACTGTTGCCAGAAACTAATATATCCAAGATTTTTCTTAATGTGTAGACTGCTTCTGATGCTTCTGATGCCTGAATCTGAGGATTCTGCTGCATTCCGCTATTACATCTTTCACTTTGAAGTCATAGGACTCCATGGTTGTATCAGCAATCAATGACTTATCTAATAACCAAAAAGAAACTGCACTTTTGGTAGAGCTCAAATTTGGTTTGGAATTTAAAAAGCATTTCTGTTGGCAGTGATGCCAATGAATGCTTATAAAACAGATACATACAGCTGTTATTTATTCTCAAAATAATGCAGCCTTTTGAAAAAAAAAATTTAATATTTAGCATGTGTATTTAATTTTTTTCCCCAGCAAAGTACAGTAATTTCTTCAACTACATCAGAACTTTTTAAAACAAAAAATATTAACCCAAATTGTGATGAAATTGTTTACATGGTTATAATTCAAGGGAAACCTTTTGAGGCACTAACCATCAGTTATTACAAGTGCCATAAAAAAGAGATGTTTGCAGAAAGAAAACAAAAAAGTTACATTACTTTTCAAAAAATATTACTAAACATATATGTACTAGAACTATTAAGTTGTATGTATTTATTTTTATCTCTTCCTTTTGACCAATTTTTTAGCATATTAAGTGCATATTTTCTTACACTTCTACCAATAACTTGTTGTTGTAAGTTTGTCTGCATAATCACAATGACACCATAGGTTGTTTCACAGGACAGTGTCCTCCTTGACACTTACTCAACATGGAAACATAATTGTTATTTATGTTTTTCTTACCTAGGAGAGAAACATATTATTTTGGGCCAAAATTTTTATAAAAAATATTTTCAAAAAAAATGCACAAATGTATTCAGTCTGAAGGTGCTGGATACATTTGAGTTTATGTATTATGAGCCAATGATTTTTATAGTACTGGCAAAGGAGTGGAAATTGTCCTTTCTTACTGATACATGTTTTAGTAAACTGTGTACTTCAACACCATCCAAAGACTTTGAAGCTGCTAAGCAATTCTCTAACTCAAGGAAAAGATTAAAGGGAGGTATTAAATGGCTTACCCAGGTGCTTTTCAGGGAAAGAAATAGGTGATTTTAACCTCCACTCTTTCTACAATATAGATCATAGCATCATAGAATGTCCTGGGTTGGAAGGGACCTTAAATATAAAGAACACCTTAATCACCTAGCTTCAATCTATATTTTCTATATAGTAAGGTGAGAGCCGTAAATGATTTGTGGTATAGAGGATTGCAGAGAGCTGGAACAGGTTTGAAGAGACTTGTTTTCCCTCACAATTCTTAATCTTTAGATGGCAACAATTAGGTCAGATAAATTGCACTATATTCAAAGAACCAAGTAATTAAGACAACATTTGCAGTAGAGTTATGCTCAGTATTCTTCTGTGGCAGATTGCAAACAAAATAAAAAAGACAACTTGAGAGAGGAATTTTGAAAAAAAATAAAATGTTCTTTAGTAGGATATATAACCAGTCTTAAGATATAAACCAATCTTTAGAAGCTGTCAGTGGACATCATCTAACCTTTTTTACCTTTTTACCAAAATATTAGATATGTCATCTATGTAAATTCTGTGCTCTCATGTTAACTGATGGAAAGAAAGGTATTTCCAGAAGGTGATTTCCCCCAGTGATATAGTACCTACCACAGTATTTCTTCTTGGTGGAATCTTTTTCCTTATTGACACTGAAATTTTAAAAGGATTAATTCCACCTTAAATAACTCTAGGCAGGATAAAAAGTCAAGAAGAAAGACACTTTCAGCAGACGAAATGTCTATGGCTGCTAATACATCAGGTGGAGGCAAGAAATCCACAGAGCAAACAATAAAGGATATAATATTATTAAAAAAATGAGGGGGGGTGGAGGAAGACAAAGCAGAGAAAACTTTAACTATGCTAATAGCAGCAAGCAGATCAACAGGAGAAGTGATTTATAGATAGTTTAACAAGCTGTGGTGGTTTGACCCCATCAGGAGACTCAGCATCACATAGTCATCTGCTGGGTTTCTGTGGCTCGGTTTTGGTAGCAGGGGGGGCTACAGGGGTGGCGTCTGTTAGAAGCTGCTAGAAGCTTCCCCTGTCCCATGGAGCCAATGCCAGCCAGCTCCAGGATGGACTTCCTGCCGCTGGCCAAGGCTGAGTCAATTAGGAGCAATAGTAATGCCTCTATGATAACGTACTTAAGAACAGAAGATTGTTGTGCAGAAGAAATTCTAGCCAGGGAAGAGTGGAGTGAGAACATGGGAATAACAATGTAGAAGGAGGGGCAGCAGGTGCTCCAGGTGCTGGAGCTGTGGCCTCCGCAGCCCATGGTGCAGAGCATGGTGGAGCAGCTGTGCCTCTGCAGCCCATGGGGGACCATTGGGGTGCAGAGACCCACCTGCAGCCCATGGAGAAGCCCGTGCTGGAGCAAGTGGATGCATGAAAGAAGCTGTGACCCCGTGGGAGGCCCAGGATGGAGTGGAGTCCTGTCGGAGACCTGCGACCCATGGAGAGGGAAGCCCACACTGGAGTAGGGTTTTCCCGGGTAGGACTTGTGGTGCCTGTATAGCTCATTCATGAAGCACTGCACCCCATGGAGGAGTGACTCACGAGACAGCAGTTTGGGAAAAGCTGCTGCCTGAGGGATGGACTCACACTGGAGAGGTCCATCAAGGACTGTCTGCCGTGGGAAGGACCCCACAGGAGCAGGGTCCTCTCAGCGGCAGAAGCAACAACTAACTGCATCTCCCATTCCCTGTCCCCCTGCACCGCTAGGGGGGAGGAGGGAAAACATGGAAGGAAGGAGGAGTGGGAGGAAGGTGTTTTTAAGACTGTTTTATCTCTCACTCTTTGGCTCTTATCCTGTTAGTAATAAATATAAGTACTATCCCCACTTTGAGTCTTGTTTTGCCTGTGAAGGTAATCAGTCACTGACTTCTCCCAGCTCTTATCTCTACTCATGAATTCTTAGCTGTTTTTTTTCCTCTCTTCTCTGTCCAGTTGCAGAGGGAGGGTGAGAGAGCGGCTTTAGTGGAGCCCCTCGGTCTTGTGCCCATCTATAGGTGGCATCTCTGCCCTGATGGCCTGAGGCATCATGGGCCCATTGAGCTAGGAACAACTCTCCCTTATGCTGCCAGTCCAGATCTAACTGTGACACCTTGACTTGTGCAGCTCGGTCTGCCTGTTTGTTGTTGTGATGTTCCCCATTAGCTCGATTTTTGGGCACGTGGACATCTACGTGGCAGACTCTCACAGTCAGCTTCTCTACATGGGTGGCAATGTCTTGCCACATATCAGCAGCTCAGATGGGTTTTTCTCTATGCTTCCAATTAGTCTTCTTCCATTGGTCCAGCCACCCCCACAGAGCATTGGCTGTCATCCACGTGTCAGTGTAGAGATAAAGCCTTGGCCACTTCTCTCGTTCGGCGATGTCCAGGGCCAATTGGACTGCTTTGAGCTCTGCAAATTGACTAAATTTGCCTTCTCCTTCAGTGGCTTCTGCCACTTGTCGGGTGGGACTCCAGACAGCTGCTTTCCACTTTCGCTTCATCCCTACAATGCGACAGGAACCATCAGTGAAGAGGGCATAACGTGTTTCTCCTTTGGGTAACTGATTGT